TCTTTGTTTTTGATACGCCAGTGTCAGGTATGAATTGTTGCTTTTCATTTAAATAAATAGAAAACGGAGAGCAATTTGTTATAATACAATTCAGGAACAGACTCGGAAATCGAAAATGATATAAACAAAAACATGCATGTAGGAAGAATAAAAAACGAAGATCGCGCTATGAGTGTGAAGATTGTGACATGGATCTATGTGTCGTACCGTGCTTTAAAATATATCATACTCAATTGTATTATTAATTATTAAAGTAAATTGTTAAAGTTAAAGTATGTATATCATATCTTTAAGAAAAATTATAATTTAATCATCAAAAACTTCATTCCAATGTACTCGCGTAGAGAACAGCATTGTCCGTCACACGTTGCAGTGCTGTATCGTTTACGCGTAATTCGCGTTGAACTCTGCCGTACAGAGAAACAGCCTCGCGCAAAATTCAGCCGTGCCTAAGAGGTTAATAATGTTATATCCACACAGTATGTATTATTGTAATAATCTTGCAGTAATATTACAAATTTACTGTAATATTGCATGGTAATATTTCAGTAATGTTGTATGAATATCTCTGCAATATTAAATATCCGTGGCAAATTCATTGCAGTAATATTTCTGCGATATTTCTGCCTTATTGCCACAACATTATAATATATTATAATAATTAATTCAGTTTTATTAATCACTAAAGTATTATTGTTTAATATTACACTCTATAGTTCGTATGATAAAGTCATGATAAAAAAACGTTCAGAAACCTAGAAAGCCCTTCCAAAAAAGGTTGAGAATCTCTAGGTGACACGCCAACTTGATTTGCGTATTTCTTTTTATAGGACTACTGGATGTTTTCTTCTTACGAGTAGCGTATCCCTCTTATGGTTGGATCGCGTATTTACCTTTTCAATATTGCAGCAATATTGCAGTAATATTTCAATAATGCACAATATTACAAAAATTGCAGCGATATTGCTGCACTATTAAAATTATAATATTTTATTGGAAATATTGCTACAATATTGCAAAATATTATATAATAATTTTAATTTTGTAAAAAATATTGCAATATGTTGTTGGAAAATTACAATTCAATAAATTACAATTCAATAAATATGTGGCCCCGTCACAAAAGAGATATGCTTTTCATAAGGAGAAAATGTATAAGAAGTTATATAAGAAGGAGCACACGAGTACTCCTTCTTGTAAGTCAAGTAGGCGAGTCTCCTGGAGACTTCCAAACATTTTTGGATATGCTTTCTGAACCCCTGAATATTTTTTTATCACAACTTTATCGTGTATATTTTGGAATATAATACTAAAGAATATAATATATAATGTGTTAACAACTAGATAATAAAAGTGAAGTAATTATTGAAATATTGCATAATTTTAAAACAACCTGTAAATAATATTTCTCTAAATTTAATCTACTGAATTATAATACTGCAACAGTAAATTGCAATATTTTATACAAAATATTTTTCAATACTGTTATAATATATTCAATAAAATAAAAAAAATTTCACTATTGCTGCAATTTTTATAATATTGTGCACTATTAAATTATTGCTACAATATTTCATAGTGTATGTATAAACATATTTTAACCCTTATATCTCAAAGATTGTTGTTTAAAATAAAAATTTATAAATAAACTTTTACTTAATTTTTTTAAACCATTGTTACTATTATTATATATTGTATTTTGATCGGCAAATGTATCAACGGTACATCAACTTCTATATATATTTCAATGATGTATTATTTGTTCCCGCTAATAAAAAAATTAAGAACAGGAGAAAAATATTCAATATTAAAGAAATAAAAAAATTATAAATAAATATTAAAAATAACTGCAATAGATACAAATAAAATATAAGATACAATGCAGCTTATTTGTGTTCATTGTGAGTTATGTTCAATCTATATTCCTAATTTTTTACATTTAATATTTAATATTTATGTAGTAATAAAAAAAAATCAAAACATAGTATTATTCATATCTTAGAAAGACGGCATTGCGATAAAATGCATTTTAATATTTCAACGCTGTTGCAGTAATATTGCAATGCGATAAATTGCAAGGTAATGAATGATATTGCAGTAGTATTACAATACGATGTATCACAATACAATATTTGAACGATATTGCTTTGCGGTATGTTGTGCTGCAATATTTAAACAATATTGCAGTAATATTTTAGTGCAATATATCATATTGCAATATTTGGACGATATTGCAGTAACACTGTATTGCGATATATTTCACTGTAATATTTGAATATTTGACATTCCCATACAGCATCGAAAGTTTCTAGAAATATCTCAGAAATTTTTCAACTGAAATATGAAACATTTTATAAAAATTGCAAGATATGTCTGCAGCGTTTCCGAGACACTCTGAAATAGCAAAATGTCCGTAATTCTTGCACATGAAACCTTGAAAAGTTGATGAAATATTACAGGAAAAATCTGAAATCTTTTTAAAATCTTATTAAAAAGGTTTCAGCTATTTCAGCTGAACTATTACTGTTATTATTAATACTTCAAAAATAATATTTAAACATATACTTGATTGATACTTAAATTTATTATGCCAAAAAATTATGCTGTAAAAATTAAAATAAGAAATACAATTATCAATGGCCTTGATTTTGAATTTAAATAAATTTTAATATTATTTAATTAAATATCAATTAAATCCATACAGCACCGATTATTGTGAAAAATTTTCAACCTTTCACATCTTATGTGCAATAATTCTGAAAGGATTCTGCAATATGTCATATATTCTAACAGAAGTGTTTTTAAAATTTATCATATGCAATAAATTGGAAAATATATTTAAACGGAACAAAAAATCATTATGATGCCGGCGGTACTGTAACTTTCCTCATAACATGAAAAGTACTTAAAGAAAAATATTTTATTATAGTGATTTGAGAAACTCTCAAAATAAGCTACAAGTATATGGAATAAAAAAGTGAGGTGATGATTCCTTTTAAGAAAACAACGGTCAATTGATCTAGCCTTCAGAAGGTCACTCAAGATCGAATCCATATTTTCATCAAATTCATATATCCCTTTTAATATCCTATAACTTTTTTGTCTGAGACATTTTTCCATATCTAAAGCCATTTCCAATATATATAGCCTGAGTGGGACTTTATAGACACTCTGTATATATATGAAAATTGTGTGAATAAAATTATATTTTTGTTTAGTAATACATTTTTACAGTTTATTTATTTTTTTTTTTTCATTTTTATTGTTAAAACTAGAAATTCAACAAATTATTTAAAAATTTTCACTAAACATAAATAAGAAAGAGCAAGATAGAGCCATATACACAAGTTGTTTTTTGCATAAATCATATATTTAAAATTAATTACATGTACCATAGAAATATTTTAACTGAAAAGTGAAACATTTCACAAAAATATGTTTGCAACATTTTTGAGACAGCTCTGATATAGCAAAATGTTTGCGATTCTTGCATATGAAACCTTGTTAACAAAATGTTATAGAAAGAATCCGCAATATATATAATATCTTTTGAAATATTATCAAAAAGATTTTAATATATAGTACTAAAAAAAAATGATATTTAAATATACTTGATTAATACTTAAATAATATTTAAATTTATTATGTCGACATAATAAATTTAAATATAGTCAATATATCAATTAAACATATATTTAAATATAATTTCTAAAATACATAAAATTTATTAAGACTTTTGTGATCTGTTTACAGATTACAAAAGTCTTAATAAATTAAAAAAAAACTTATTAAAATAAACTTAAAGTATTTCTTAAAAATAATTATTATATCGCCAACTATTTTGATTAATTAATCATATTGTATATCCAAAAGCACATATAATATGATTAATTAATCATATTATATGTCCAAAAGCACATATACATAATCATTAAAAAAATTATATCTGCAGTTTTCACACAATCATTATTCATATACAAAAGTTTTTCGCAATTAAAGCAGAACAAGTCATTCATGTACAAAAATTTTTTGTAATTAAAAATAAAGCAATTCATGATAATCTCAAAATGACATTAAATTGAATCATAATTGATAAAAAATGACTTTTAGTAAACATTTTGAAGCGATTTTAATATCATAATGATTTTTTATTCTATTTATATATGGTTTTCAATTTATTGCATATGATAGATTTTGGAAATTTCTGTTAAAATATTTCATATGACATAGTGCAGAATTTTTTCAGAATTGTTGCATAGAGAGATCTAAAAAGTTGAAACATTTCTGAAAGCTTTCCGCAACAATTGATACTATATGGATTGTAGCAATATTACAGAATGATATCACATTGTAATATCTCAACAATTGTTGCAATATTATATTGTGATATATCTCAGTAATATCTCAGTAAATTTATGTAATATTGCATTGCAAGTTGTAATATTACTGCAATTGTAATCTCACTGTAATATTATTACAATTACATGCTGTGTGGGTATATCATTATAATAATAAGTGTTTTTTTTTTAAGAAATTCACTTTGCAAATCCTTTTGCAGAATCCTTGTAAAATGTATAAATGTGTAATTTTTTAAATAATTCTAAGAATTCTTATAATAAATAATCCTGATAATAATAAAATATCTTATCCATTAATTTCTTTTATTAAAATTAAGAAATCTTTTATTTTCCTTTGCTATATTCTGTATGATATTAAAAGCTATTTAAATTATCACTTTTCTAAATTAACTCTATTTTAAATACATTTCTTAATTCAGACTTTATTGTATGTAATAAGTATAATCTTCATTTAATTAAGAATAGATCAGTTTTAATAAAAACTTGTCAAAAGATTTACTTTATAAAAAATAATTTTATATGTATACTGTATATATGGAATATATATTAAAAAAAAAACAACTTAATTTGATTAGCAAGAATAATTTGTTTTAAATTTCTTAATATTCAGATTTTATAATATCTTTATACTCATATTCTCAGTCTGAAAACGATAGAAGTGAGACGAAATCCTATGCGAATGTCGAAGAGAAATGTTGAGGATTTTTCTCGACCCAAACAACTATTGGCCAACAAGAAAGAGTTTTATTTGGATTATGAATTTGAGAAACGTATAAAATCATCCGCAATGCCATATATGAACACTAGATCTATTACTCGAAAGATGTATACTGTGGGTGCTACTTATCAAGCACCTACCAAAAAAGATGAAACAGAGTGGAAAGAATGGCCCGTACATGGAATGCATGAAAGACCAGTCTACCATCCTCAAGTAAAATTATCTTTCATATTATAACATCATTATTTATATTATTAATAATAAGAATCTTTTTTAGACCGCATATATGAGAATACAATCAATACTAAAAATTAAATGCCTATAACGGTTGAAGTTAAATCTTTAATATAATTCAAATGTAAATTATATATATATATACTATATATGTATTATATATGTACTATATATACTATATATGTACAAGCATAGATATATACCATAATTCATAATCATTCGTAGTCATTCAAATTTCTTTAGACACGTTTCGGTAGTCTAAAGGCTTAAGATGTTCATACGGAATACTAAAGATCCGGATTCGACTCCTGATCAAGGTAATATTTTTCATAATAAATTTATTTATAGTTTTTCAGTACATTAACATCTTTCTAACATGCCTAATTGAGCATCAAATTATTAAAAACTGCTTGTCAATTTAATTTTATTATCGTGAAATTTACAATAATTATCATGATATGATCATGATATTGTTACAGTTTAATTGCGTATAAATCCGATATCAGTATAAATTTATCTTTTTAAAAAGATAAAAATGCGTTGTAAATACATGCTCTGCAAATAAAATTTTAATAAATTATTATATAATATATGATGAAACCTAAGTGATATGTATTTTTGTATCTATTAAAGTCCCATAAATAAAAATTCTACTTAATTTGAATGATACGTATCAGGTATATAAAAGATTTGATATCAATGATGAGCGCTAAACTATAATCTTTAAAAATTGTTACCTCACTCAATCTAAATCATATACGATTGAATAAAACTCTGTTGTACAAAATTAAAAATGAAATCCAAATTACGTTCTTACACACATCTTAACCCAAGGGTTAGACTTAAGGATGTAACAGTACAAAATAAAAAATGTTTAATTATAAAAATAATAAGGCTCAATAAATTAAAATAAATAAAAAGAACAAAGGGCTACGAGCCTAAAACAATCAAACATAAAATAACAATCTGCATTAAATAGTTAAAAAATGAAATAAAACATGTCATGAAATTAAAAAACGTAAAATATAATTAAACAGTCAGGAAGTGAACAAAAACAAACGTTTTGATTCCTGTTGGATTATTTTCAATGTGACGACAAGATAATAATAGAAATGTAACGTAGATAAAATATATAGAAATTAAATAAAATTCGCATTCGGACGTAATATCAACTATAAAACTCGCTCCAAATTGAGAGAAAATCAAACAAACGATTGACACCAATGTGTTCCTCCGAACAGTGTGTGCATAAAGATTTTAACCAGAAATAATATTTTCTTCCTTTCTTTTCTAACACAATCTCTGACATTTTACCATTCTCTGTTGTTGATCAATTTTTTTAAATATTTAGATCATATTACCAATTCTCACTATTCTAAACAAATGTTCAGAATCAATAAAAAAATAGATTGGTTGCGACAAAAAAATTTAAAATTATCGAAATCTAAAATTAGACCAATTTCTTACGTTATTTCTAACGACACGAATGATTACCCTTCAAATATTCAACTTGTTGAATATTTGATTGTCGATAAGTTCTCGCATAATATCCAATCTAAGTTTGAAAGAATTGATATTGATCCCGATAATTTTAATGAGGCGCCTCCTTTGGATACTTTATATGAAAAATGGTTTATCAACTTGAGTGGCATTGACATTTCCTTAAAGGTTCGTTACTTGTTACAACTCGGTGAAAAATTTGGGCTTCCTATCAATAAATATAATAAGACAGTACCTTGATTGAATTTATTAAACATATCGAAAATAATATAATTGGTCGTCCTAATAATATTATTAATTTTGTTAGGAATAATTCTTTTCCAATACTCAATAGATTCCACAACAATTTTCCTTCTCCTACATTTACTGACAAACTGGTTTTGGAATGGTTACGTACAACCAAAAGATTTATTAATAACCATCCCAATATATTAGGTGTTGGAATTAATTCGTAGCGTTTTTAATGAAAAAATGTTATTTATTTCACATGAGCATTAAAAAATACATTAATGAAAGTACTTCCCATCACTTGTAAAACGCTACGAATTAATTCCAACACCTAATATTTATCACAAACGCCGATAAGGGTAGTGTCACTGTTGCTCTGGACAAGGACGCTACGTATCAAATATGGAGGAGATTCTCTCAGACACTAACACTTACGCTTTTGTTAATAAAGATCCAATTAAAAAATTGACTCAGGACTTACGCACTTTGTTGGTGAGATGGAGGCGAGATCATTTTATTGACGAATAAACATATCGTAGATTGCTTACAATTGATGGTGTTATATATCTAGAGCTTACGGTTTGACTAAAATACATAAGTATGGTAACCCGTTGAGAGTGATTGTTTCATCTGTTAACAGTCCATTATATTATTTTTCTCTTTTTTTGCATAATTTAATTAGTGATAGTATACCAAAAGCTCCTAGTTACATTAGAGATAGTCTTCATTTGGTTGAGCATTTAAATGATACTGTTTTTAATCCTGAATATGTTTTGGCTTCGTTGGAAGTAGTATCCCTTTTTACTAATATTCTTATTGAGCTAGCATTAAATAGCATCGATAGGAGATAGGTTTACATCTCGGCAAAGACAAGCATCTCAAAAAATGAGTTTATTATTGCTGTTAGATTTATTTTAGATTCTACCTTTTTTACCTTTAATAATAGAACTTACAAACAAGTGTTCGGCACTCCGATAGGTTTACCATTATCTCCGATAATCGCCGACATTGTAATGCAAGATCTAGAGAAAACAGCACTTAAAAAATTGTCAGTATGACCTTTGTTTTATTTTAGATATGTAGACGATATTCTTCTCGCGCTTCCATCTGATACTATCAATGACACTTTGAATATTTTTAACTCTTTACATACGAAATTGCAGTTTACCTTGGAGATTGGTACAAGTGGCAGATTAAGTTTTCTTGATACAATGCTTGTTATAGATAATCAGAGAATTATATTTATCATAAAAAGACATTTTCCGGAAGATTCTTTAATTTCCATTCAAATCATCCTTTTTGTCATAAAAAAGGTACTATTATCATTTTCATTGACAAAATTATCCTATTATCACATCCATATTCCAACAAAAAAATTTGAGGCTATTAGAGGCTATTCATACTTTTTTAAACAATTGTTATCCTCTTCCCTTTATTTTCTCTACAATTGAACGTAGATTAAAGTTTCATATACATAATAAAGATATTACACATTATTCACGTGAGAAAGACAAATATATTTTACGATTCTTTATGTTAAATCTATTTCTGAAAGTTTGCTTCCCGTTTCTAGTATGTTTCATTGTAAATTAGCCTTTTCTATTCCCAACACATTAAAAAGCTTTATAAAGAGAGGAAAAGATAAGCTTGATTTCCTATCCAATCAGAATGTTGTTTATAAGATCTCCTGTGATGATTGTGAGGCGAGTTATGTTGGTCAGACAAAAAGAAAATTGAGTATGCGACATATCTCTGACATTAGAAAGAATACGGGTTCTCCTACTGTCATAACTAATCATCGAATTAATTTTGATCATAATTTTAAATGGAACTTTGTAAAAATGTTAAACTGAGAATCTTCTTATAATAAGAGATTGGTGTCTGAAATGATTCATATTAAAAGACAGAAACAGAGCCTTAATAGACAAAATGATACCGAATCTTTACTTGATACCTACTCACAGATCATCCAATCTCTTTCTCCTTCTTAACTGCTTTCCTTTTCCTATCCATCTCTTCTCTCCCTACTTTCTTTCCCCTTTACTTTATTTTCTCCTTCTTATGTTCCCCTTCCTTTTTAGTTTTCCATTTTCACCTTCCTGTCTTTATATGTCGTACTTTACTTTATCTCTTAGCTTCCTAGAGAGATGATCAATTTTGATTCCCATCGCATTGTCTAATCGATTACACATTATTTTGACACATAAGGTATTTATTCTAAATTTATCTGTTCTAAATTCATTATACATATACAATAAATGACGGCATTTTACTCTTTCTCTATCGACATTACTAACTCTTATGTGCATTTCTTATAATATCAAAGATAATTTTTGCCTCTTTCTTTTAATTTTAATTTATTACTTGCGACTTGTTTTGTACCTTTCTTTTTATTGTTTGCGACTCGATTTGTACTTTTCTTATTCCTGTCGTTAATTTATTATTACAATTTGTACTTGCTAACAGAAATATCATTCGTTCTTATGTACACATACTGTTCGGAGGAACACATTGGTGTCAACTACAATCGTTTGTTTGGTTTTCTCTCAATTTGGAGCGAGTTTTATAGTTGATATTACGTCCGAATGCGAATTTTATTTAATTTCTATATATTTTATCTACGTTACATTTCTATTATTATCTTGTCGTCACATTGAAAATAATCCAACAGGGATCAAAACGTTTGTTTTTGTTCACTTGCTGAATGTTTAATTATATTTTACATTTTTTAATTTCATGACATGTTTTATTTCATTTTTTAACTATTTAATGCAGATTGTTATTTTATGTTGATTTTTATTTTAGGCTCGTAGCCCTTTTTTCTTTTTATTTATTTTTAAAAATGTTTAATGAATAAAAAATATTTTATGCAAAAGAATGCTTGGCGTTGCTAAAAACCAAAATAGGGAAAGCCATTATGAATTAAAATAATACCACTCACCCACACATGCACACGCGCACGCATACAAATTGAGAAAACTTTTATTATCAATGATATATTTTTTAAAAATATCAGTGATAAAAGTTTTCAGGGTATTTATACCATGATACATATCATTTCAATATAAAATTTCGGCTGCATACATTAGCAGAAACGAGGTATTAGTCAAATATCCGTGCATCACCATTATATTTTATATATTATTATATTATTGTAAGTGTAAATGTCATTGTACAGTAACGTAATTACATGTCAAACATAATACATAAAAGTAAGTACATAATGTACAAAATAAAGTACTAATCATAAAATAAAGAATCTAAAAGATATTAAAAATAGTCATTGTTCTTTCATTGCAAAATTAATATCTTATAATTACTAATCTTTTATCAATACTGCGATAACATGAACTGGGAACTACAGGGTGGGCCATCTATTGGTACGTTTTTAAAAATGCGATCAAATGAGCATACATTGATATTTTTTATTAATTTTTTTTTTGTTGTGAAGCTAAAAGTATCCGCGTCAAGAATGAAAAACGATTTCGTTCATGTGGCTCCCTCTACTGGCCTTACAGTATGCCATTCGGTCACCCCAATTATTAATGACATTTTGGACTACCTCGGCGCCAATTTCACTCAAAACAGTCGTAATATAATGTCATCCACTAACATCCCTTTCTCACGAACTTTCCTCACCAATTTGCGTATAGCTCCTTCGGTGGGTGCTCTATCACGACCCATATTTCTTTTCAAAATTCGTACAGTTTCGGCGACACAGCACTGACTTTGAAAATAAGTTTTTAAAATTTCAAAACGCTCTTCAAGAGAAAACATGTTGTTTCGTGCCGCGGACGGTATGACTAATAAACTGTCAAAATTTCGGGTCTGTAGCTCGTTCGGTGTTGCCATACGACGAAATTCAAAAACGTACCAATAGATGGCCCACCCTGTAGTTCCCAGTTAGTAAACTAGAAAAAAATGTATGAAAAATATGCATTAGGCACCTCGTTTCCAACGCGTCACGCGTCACGTCATGAGAGAGAAAGAGAGAGGGGGGGGGGGGTTATGTACACAGATGGGATTATTAAGATGCCATTACAATATTATATGGAAGTATCGAAGATTGAGCATACATCATGAGCTTACTATTCACTAAAAATAAATCACATGATCCAAATTAACGAATAGCATGCTCTCGATGCTCGACGCTTGAGGCTTGACTCTCACATTACATTAGAAACATCTTTAGTATCCGCGTTTGCAACATGTTAAACCCATATCACATTATATATTGGAAACTAAGAATTGCAATAAATTAGAGATTAAAATTCGACCAGTCAAATAATTTTAATTATAATTCATTTTATTCTGATTTGCTGAATTTTAATCTTTAATTCGTAATTCTTAATCTCCATGGGTATATTATAATGTAACACGGGCTTTAACATTACTGCTCATGATATGCGCATAATTATGCTTTCCATAAAAATAAATAAGACAACCAAGAAAAGTCAATATAAAGTCATTCTTAGATTATCTGAGATCAAGATTTTTATCATAACCAAAAAATGACATAAATTTGATCAATATGATGTTAAATTAATATTATTTTGATTTTCTTGTTCTCCTTGAGTTCAAGGCATCACACCGAACAACCTTTGAAAGGTAATAATAGTAATCCATCGCACACTTTACAAAGTTATTAAAAAAATTAAAATGACCTTGATATATAAGACGTACGACTTTGCTTATACCGTTTTTTTCCGAAATTCGTGGCTTTATTGTAAAAAACTGGTTATACATTTATGATTCAAAGTATTGTCCATCGCTGGCCACTACTTTCTCCCATCTTTCGGGCAGCATACGAATCCCGCGTCGAAAAAACTGGTCATCTTTTGAGGCGATCCACGAATCGATCCAATTTTTTATTTCTTCATAAGACCGGAAGTGCTGGTCAGCCAGGTCGTGTGCCATTGATCGAAACAAGTGATAGTCAGAGGGAGCAACGTCTGGAGAATACGACGGGTGGGGTAGGACTTCCCATTTCAACGTTTCCAAGTATGTCTTGACCACTTTCGCAACATGGGGTCGAGCATTGTCATGCTGCAAAATCACTTTATCGT